TTACTGTGACAAATTCACAATAACAGTAGAACAGCTTCTCAGATATGTTCTCAGATATCTCAGAAAAGTTCTTAAAACAGCTGCAGCAGCCAAAAGAGTGGCCCCCTACTGATTCTCCTTTGTACCAATGAGGATTCTAATAATTTGACAATCCAGAAGATTTGCAGTGTTTCATGACCCCCGGCTTTCCACAGTTGGAAAACTCTTCTTGGAACTTAAGACGAGAGAGAATAAAACTGTTTTTTTGCCAAATATGTTTTTTAAAAGTCTTTTTTTCTTAGAAGGGAATCCCTGCTAAAATCATTGCTAATATGAAATACTTCCTAGGATTATTGTATTAAAATGCCTAAGGTCTCCCCCCACCCTTTTAAAACAAATTATGTAGTTGTACTAACAACTAAATGTAATGTGCAATGCACCCCTTATGTCAGTTGTTTTCTTGCTTTTGCTTTTTTTTAATGTCTAGAAAAAAAGATGTGGGTTGGGAGGAGGGTCCTATTCAGATTCAAGAAAGAACATAAGTATGTATTAAGGGGGAAGAAGAAAGGCAGGGTAGATATGCATCTCATAGATTAGCTAAATAAGATACAAGAGAGCATAAGCTTTCATGAACCCAGGCTCACTCCATTAGACCATAGGAAATCAAAGAAAAGGGGTCTATAAGTATGCTTGTCCCTTGAAAGAGTCCTAACCTTGTTAGGTATCAATTATAAGAATAGGTGTAGATAGAAGAGTCCTAGTCCCAGCTGGCCACTAGGTGAAGTTATTTTAATTAGTGAATTAATTTAAATGTAGACAATTTACCTGGTTGTCCTCTTTTTCCAAAAGAGGACAATTACGTCTATTGACCTGTAATGCCCCAATCCATTCTGTATTATTAGTCTTTTTAAAGCAGTTTTTAAAAATACATTAAGATAGAATGGTCTTTCTGTAACAAGAATTGATCATGCTAGATAAAACATTTACATTTATTAAGGCTATTTCTAGTTTTGAACCAAATCTTTCAAGATCTTTTTTTTAATGATTTCTAGTGGTAGAATTAAAAGCATGTCTTTCATACTTATAATTATGGATACGCCTAGATTTTTGTTTTCTCTGACCTCAAATGGAAATTAAATCATTATATACTTGTGAGGAAATGTGTCTTTAAGAGGTTTTGTATTTGAGAAAATATTTTCAAAATTATCCCTCAGTATCACAGCTGAAATTCCTCTTCACATGGGATCTGGAGCAGGTCTGTGATGGGTTTATAGTAAGAAGGGAAATGTAGAGATTTTTGTGGAAAACACATGCAGGACCTTGAAAGTGAGTAAAGTAAGTGGCTTTAGCATGAAATAACAGGGGAGGGTGAGGCTGGTGAAGAGCGAGGTAATACTAGTCTGGAAAATGTTACCATTGGGGAGACCAGAGAAAACCGGCTTATAAACACCCATACATGTACTGTAGAAGGAAGAAGAGGCTGGGTTTTGGAAACATTCTTACAGCAAGCGCTCGGATCTGTCTGTAGTTCTGCTATGATAGATAAAAGAGAGAAATGAGTCAAAGGATGACCCCTGGATTATAGGAATGAATAATAATGGGTACAGCGTCAAAAGTGACAGAGAAAGGTAAAAGTAGGAGGAGTTCCTTGGCAGAAACAGTGAGGAGTTAACATGGCAAAAATTGTAAGTTTAAGGTAGTAACAAGATTTCTGAAAAAATAAATAAAAGAAATAATGGCCACAAGCTAGCAGAGAGCAGATTTAGATTGGACATTAGGAAGAACTTCTTCACAGTTAGAGTGGCCAAGGTCTGGAACGGGCTCCCAAGGGAGGTGGTGCTCTCCCCTACCCTGGGGGTCTTCAAGAGGAGGTTAGATGAGTATCTAGCTGGGGTCATCTAGACCCAGCTCTCTTTCCTGCTTATGCAGGGGGTCGGACTCGATGATCTATTGAGGTCCCTTCCGACCCTAACATCTATGAATCTATGAATTAGAAATAGATGGGGGCTGAGATGCTGGTTTGGTCAGAGAAATGTGTTGGGAATAGAGAGGTAGCTCTCTGAATCTGCAGTGCAAAGCTAGTGTTAAAGCTATGAAATTGCAGCTAGATAAAAATTTCCTGAAGAAGCTAAAGACCTTTGCCACCACTCCCTTTTCTTGAGAAGATGTTGCCAAAAGAGTATCTAAAGAAGTGGGCATGCCCTAAGATGACTTTTTGGAAGTAATTCAGATTCCTAATTACAAAAGGAAGGTGAGGGGTGGCAGGCGGGGAGATGAACAAATAAACCAGAATCTTAATTATTATTCCTCTTGATCTGATGACTTAACTGCTGGGTGTTTCCTAACAGTAATCTTAATAACTCAGTATAGGCCACTCTGCTCCCATTTGATTATATTAGCAGTAGTAGTAACTAGAAGGATGTAGAAGTACAAAACATCTTACTCATGCAGGTAGCTCTGTCCTTACATGAATTAAAGGTTTCATTTACAAAAATGTGGTGGGTGAAAAAGTGTTAAGTGGAAAATTGTGCTGCAGGAGATTAATTTTAATCTTTAAACAAATAATGCTGGTAATTAGGGTGCTGATAAGGATAGATTCCTGAATACATGCAGTCTTTGCCATTATTCTTCACACCATAGTTTGCTTGGGGATTGGAGAGGTTTTGAATCCATTGCCATCAAATGGTAGAAAGCTGGAGCACGCACAGTTGAAGGTGACAAATGGTACACTAATAAAAAATAAATGTGAGCTTCTGATATGTAGCAGAATACCTATTTCCTTACTCCTACTTATTCTGTAGTCCTATCCCATACATTTTTCAGTATGCAAGGCATGAATATCTGTCTACATGTAAGGATGGAGTGTGAATAAAACATATAAGAAACACTGGCCTTCACCACCCCACCCTTTAAAAAGACTCAAAAATGAGTTTTAAACTTTTCAGACCTAATTCAAAATGGCTTTGTGTATTTCTCACCTTGTAAATTGCTAATATGTTACTTGATCTAACACCCAAGGACGTTGATGAGAATGATCCACTTCTGAGAATTTTCATTCTTTATGTGAGTTTCATTAGTAGATTCTAGAGAAACATGCCTTTTTCAGCTTCTAGACAGCTGTTTGCCAACAACCATATAATTCACTGCAGTTGTGAAGTTAAAAAAAGACAAAAAAAAACAAAACAAAAAAAAGACAGGGATATTAGAACTTATGGGCACATCCACGTGTTCATTAATACACCATAGTTACTGTACATTAACTTGAGTACTAAATCCATGTGCAGTAACTCGTACAACTATGCAGTAGGGCTGGTGCATGGGTTTTTAGTAACGCTTACTGCTCAGTGGCCTAATACTACTGTGCACTATCGTATTAGCACAGTTTTTGCCTGGCACACTACTGCTCAGTGTTGTTAATTTACTACACAGCTAGTGTCTCGTGTACACATGCCCATGGGGCAGTATACCAGTATCAAGATAATCTTTGAAGACAATGTAATCTCTTCAAGCGAGTTTATTTTATACCAGTCTGCCTTCATTTATTGCAGTTTAGACTAAACAGAAACACAATTTGGGAAGGAAAATGAATTTGATGCATAAGGAACATCAAATTAAAGGATTCAGCAGATCAGGTTTTATGGTAAATGTCTATAAAACACCCTTACTAACACATATATGTTTAGTACAATAAGAAGTTACCATCTGTCTCTTGTTACATCATTTTCGTGCAATAATTCCATCAGCAACCAGCAATGTATCTGGTTGAACAAATATTTGGCCAAGAGAGTCCTAGCAAGGATCTAGATTCTACAAGGAGAGGTAGTAAAATCAGTGCTTGAAACTGAAGCAGTAGTTCCCTGAAATAGTTCCCTGGAATGGAGACACAGGCATGCAGGATTTGCTGTGTTCAATTCAGAAGCAAGCCTAAGCAAGTACAAAGGAAGCTTAGATGACATTTTTTTCAGCCTTTCCAGTGTGTATATTACATCAGCATAGGCTCCCTTTGGATTTTAAATGGCAGGGATGACTTAACAAGTGGTAAGGAGAGGATATCCACATTGCAGCTTCTGAGTGGGTGTAGTCATGATCCCATACCCCCTGCAGGCACAGTCACTCCCAGAGCTCTCCATTTGACAGCACAGCTTTGCATCAGGCTCAGTGCAGGTCAGTGGTTCTCAAGGCCAGTCTGGCTTTTTGGAGTGTTTAGCAAAGCCTGTTCTCCCATGTGGTGGTTCGTATCCTGTCATTTCTCAATACTTTATATCACATTCCTGAGTATACTATTTTTTTCAGTGATACTTTGTTTGAATGTTTTCTAAACCTGAAGAAGGGCACTTTGTACTTGAAAGCTTGTCCAACAACTCTCTCAGCTACACAGTTTGTCTAATAAAGATATCACAAAAACCACTTGCCTCCTGTACATCCTATTTAAAAAGTTATAATTTTAATATATGGAAAGGGTGAAGAGAGGCAAAATAAAGAAATTAATGGAAGTGGAAGAGCATTTGGCTTCAAAATACAAGTGACATGTAATTTCCAATAACTAAATGGGAAATAGCTGTCTTGCCTATAAATTTAGCTGTTTTATGTAAAAATATGTTTTTCAAAATGTCATTTGCGGTTTTAAGGGCTAAGTATGGAAAATTGCATAATGTACTTTTAAACTTGTGTAACTAGGAATAATCACGTCAAATAAACATAGAATGTATAGTGTTTTGTTAAAATGTACTTAGTTCTAGTGTAGAGGTTGATTTATCTCCGGTGTCTGGTCATGCTAAAAAAAAAAAATGACGTATTACTAATTTCCTAATGTATTATTTTAGTTTAGCTATGTTAAATGCTTAAAACCCTTTTAAAACAATGTGCTCAAGTGAGATTACTTTGGGTATGTAGTTAAAGCATTTGTAGATTGCAAAATATATCCCCCTTTGAGACAGTTTGTATTTGACTGCTTGTGTGTAATCATTCATATTGTTCTTAATGTTTATAAAACTGGTGCTTTTATATATTTTTTCTTTTAGGTGCTTTATTCCAAATGTCTACGCTGCCCTCTTCACTGCTGCTTTGTTACCACTCATGTGCCTGGTGGTGGTATTTGTTGTATTCATTCATGCCTACCAGGTAACTCCTCAGTGGAAAGCATATGATGATGTTTTCAGAGGAAGAACTAATGCCGCAGGTAAGAGATGTGGGATGCTGCCGAAGAAAAATATTGAAGGCAATTCTGACTTAGTGTGAAATTCACTCCAGGGACAAACACTTGCTGAGAAACCCCAATTCAGATAAACGTTTAAGCTCATACATAAATTCAAGCATGTTAGGTTTTCCTTTGAAGTCAAAGGGACTCTTTCTGGCTTAAAGTTATGTCTGACTTTTAGTATCTTGCCAAAACCTTCTGCATTACTTACGTGTTTTATATTGTCTTTTTATAGTGCCTCTGGAAAAAAAAATAACTCTTTTGTAAACAGGTACCATTACATAGTTGTTAGTGGAGTTGTATTGATTTATACAGGGCCGAATTAAGTTTTATAAAAGTTCCAGTAAGCGTTGATCTCTGTTTTTAAAATATAGATTGAGATACTTAAAAGAAAACTATAATACTATAAAACTATAAAAATAAAATTGTACCTTAGATGACTACATTACCTACTGGATAAAGAAACGTTATGTGTGTTATATCTACCTTTTAGATGCAGTGCATCTACCTTTTAGAAATACTCAAAGTAAAATATGAAATCTCTGAGGTCTGGAAACTTCTTCAAAGATATATTTTTTTCCAGTGGTAAATTACCAAATTACCTAATGGTAGTTTAAGTTGGATAAGATCTCAGTGCTCAAATATAACATGTTTCATATGCTTTCAACTGCTTAGTATACCGTTCTTAACATAGTGTGCAGCTTGTTCCCTGCCTACCCCTTCAGGATAAGGCAGCAATGCCTGCAGCCTTCATAAAATTGAGACAGTTCACTCTAAGACAAAGAAAAATATCATTAGTTCAGTTATCCTTCTTTTTATATATCAAAGGTATATTTGTCTTAGTATAAAGGTTAAAAAGCTCCAGAAGCAATGATACCTGCTGAAATGGTGAAATGGTACCATTTTTGTAATTATATTTTGACTTAACCATTTATTCTTAAATTAGTTATTCACATATGCATAAAATGTATCAGCCAACCTTCATTAGAGTTAACTTTCAGTCCTGTTTGCATAGAACTAATGGATTTAAACCTGCCCAGTGCACAGGTATGACTGGAAAACAAAAATGTCCCTGAATTTTCTGAGACAGTCCTGAAATGTCCTGTCCTGAATATTTAGATGATAACAATAACAGGGTGAGAAAGATAAATGTCAGAATATATTAACAGTACCAACATTTTGATTGCATAGACTTGAATAAAAATATGAATGAAATACATTATTAAATTAATAGGGTATTAACTGCTGTGTTGCAAAATAGTTCTAAATCAGGGTGAAGAGGAAATTGTGAGATGTTTGGAAAAAAATTATTAGGAAAAAATTAAAAGTAAGTGTTCATGAGGGTATTCTTTTATCAGTATAAGTGGTGAGTACTTTGGTACACGGATATATTCAAGGGAAGCTACCAGATTTATTCAAACATAAGACAAGATTTTTTCCTCTCCAATTAGCCCCAATCAACATGGGGAAAAAAGCTCCTCGTTTTACATTCGCATACAAGGAAAACTCATTAAATACATTGCCTTCATTAAATTGCTGCCAAAAACAGCATGTGCTCAGTAATGGAAACCATCTATGAAGATGATTAAATTCAGCCAACACTGAGCATGACTGTAAAACACATGGCCCATATTGGGCAAACATACTGATTTAGGAACCTACCACATTTTTTTTTAATTTCATTTCCAAGGCCAAATCAGTTCCGAATTAAGTTCCAAATTTCAACTGAGCAGAGCTTAATCATTCAAGTCTGTGTAGTGCCACCACTGGCAAGTATCCTACCCTCTGGACTCTTCAGTCTGGGGCTTCAGATAGCCACCTCTGGACTCTTCAGTCTGGGGCTTCAGATATTCCCAAATCCATGCCAAACATCCTGAGTACAAGCCCCAAGCCCAGAGGCCTTGGAGTTCAGGTGCACTCTAGTCTAACTTGCCCCTAGCCAAAAGGTTGAAAGCCCTATAGCAGTCCCCCATTGCCATAAATTTTGTAGCCAAGATCCATGCATTAAGAAACATTTGCAGACTCTCGCAGGAGTTTTAGTTTGCTGCCCCTATAGCCGTGGAGTGAAGCACCGGGCTCCGTCCAACTCCGCAGCTCTGCAGGAAGCTCTGCAGGCAGCCTGGCAGCAGCCTGGGAAGGCAGAGTCCACCCAAGAAAAGCGACAAGCCTGATCTATTCCCCCATCTTCCCCAGAGCCTGTCTGTCTGCCTGAGCTGCATGGGGGCCTGGTGCTTTCCTCCGCATCTGCGGTACCCCCCAGGACCACCCAAGCCGGGTGCCTGAGGGTGCGTGCCACCTGGGAGGGGTGTGTGCCACTGTCGCGGAGAGAAGCACCAGCCCCCCCCACAGCCCAGGGACTACTCTGCCTGCCAGAAGCTCACCCTCCCCTCCCTGCCACCAGAGAGGCAGGTAAGTCGCATGTGTGCACGACATGGGGGTTTAATCGGCCCTAAATTGAAGCGGTATTTTTAAAAACCCACTTCTTCAATTTAGGGCCCCCTTTTCATCTACACACACCCAATATGTGCCAGAATATTTCTCCTGGCTGCTTGGGACCTTGCTAACAACCAATAAAGATTTTTGGTGTCTGCGCCTGTGTGTTGTTCTTTTGTTCTCACTCGCCACAACTTTGCTTTAACTTATTGTGAGCAAAATCCTCACTATGAGTCTAACATGCTCAGGCAGGACCAGTGGTTGTCTTCCCGGGGCTTCTACCTCCCTGTATACCCTTTCCTTTCAGCAACCAACTGTTTCTGAGGAAATCTTCAAAATGATCCAAAAGTCCCCTTCTAGAAAATCAGTGTCAAAATTATAAACAATCAGTCCAGTCTCTATCAATATAACAAATTTATAATGAACTGTAACATAGACAAACTCATGGTTAGTTGCTCTTTCACGCAAAACACCCTCGCTGTATCCTGGAATCCCTCCCTTGTGCTCCTCCATCTGGGGTCTTGCTCCGGTGCCCCTCTTACCAGACACTCCTGTGACTGTCTGGACTTACAGTGCTTTTCTTCTGCCCCCTCTCTGGGGCTGACTTCTTATGTCTAGCTGACCTTTTCCTTCAAGCCAGCTAATTTCAGTATGCTGTCCCTTCTTGGTGTACCAGCTCTCTCTCTGTTGCTGGCTCTCCCCAGCATGCAGGTTTTCTGTAGTTGTCTGCTTCCTGCTTTCCTCCAGATGCTGGTCCTCCCCAGCATGTAGGCTCTTCCCTGCCTACCTGCTCTCCTTAGTGTGCTGGTTTCCCTCCCAGTGCCAGTCAGCTGGCTGGTGGCTTTTGTCTGGGGCCAGCTTGGGGCTTCCAGTTATACCAGAAGCAGCCAGATGCCTGCCCACCTGCACCCAGCACACGCTCTTAAAGCATGTCTGGGGCTGTTTGGGCTCTGAATGCTGCTCCCTCAATGCTGCCGGGACTCTTGCCCCAAGGTAGGCAGCTCTATTGGCCCTTCCCAGGCCTTCCGCCCTACTCTCGGGGTCCATTGCTGCTTCCCCCTTCGTTCCCTGTCCCGTGCTCTTCAGGACAGTGGGAGGCATGCTCCCACACTCCCACAGCTGAGCTGAGCCTTTTTTCCTATTTCTAATGATTCTTGCTTCTTCACCAGCCTTAAAAGTCTAGCAAACATTACATGGGGCCCTAAACAGTTCACCCCAAATCCCCTCTCCCAGTCTGGTGCATATGATTAATGTGGTCCCACCCTCCATGATGTGGAGCCGGACCTGGTTGCTCTGTTATTTATCTGCATATAATTTTTGGAGCATCCCAGGGCTCATGACAAGACAATCCAGTTCCAGTCATGAGTGGGGGGGCTAATCAGCACATGGTTCTTTTGTGGGAGTGGTATGTGGAGTACACTCAAGTACTGATCAGTGCTGAGCTATGGGGTCACCGTGGCTTGAAATGCTGTTCAATTTGCTGGAGCCCAGTCCAATGAACAATATGGTAATTTATAAGCATTTTGAGTTTTGAACTAATAACACACATGGTTTGTATTGCATATAAGTAGGTATAAAAGTGCTGCTTTAAAAGAATGCTTATGGAGTACCTGTGTTAAAATTTGCAGCAGTTTCAAAAAAGGTAAAAGGGGTCTTGGTTGTAGCCATGTTGGTCTAAGGACATAGGCAGATAAGGGAAATCTGATATCTTTGGGGAAATCTGATAGCTTTTATTAAGCCAGCTAAAATAGTTGGAAAAATTCTTCTTTGCAATCTTTCACAGTAGTTTCAAAAAAAGTAAAATGCTAACAGTGAGGTGATGAAGAGGAAGAGGCTGCAGGGGGAAGAAGTTGAGGGGCAGAGAACAAGGGGGCCACCTGAACCCACAAATTTATTTTCCCTGCTGTAGCAGTAGAGGGGAACAAATTCAAGGCAGACCTCCAATAATTAGATTCTATACCTGAAAGATTATAGCAAATGTATACATTTTCCATATATAGAGTCTAATTACTGGCAGTCAGGAATTTTATATTCAGGGTTGTCTTATGGTAATATTTAATTGTCGTAGTCCTTCAAGTAAACACATTCCCACTGAAAATATATGCAATATAGGTGAGAGAGAGATTGAAGGGGAGACTCAATTTTGAGTAGAAAACAATGCTATCTAGTGAGTCTGGCAGTGTCAATGGTTTCTACAAGGCTAATATCTATTAGTATATTTAGCCTAAGAGTAGATTTAGATAAGGGCATGTCATTTCACTTGTCTGTAAAACCTACTGCACACACACAAATAAAACAGTGGTTTGCAAACTTCCTAAAGTCACAAAACCCTTTCATATTACTTCTGCTGCTGTGGAACTGATACAGAGCCAGGTGACCCAGCCCAGCAATGGTTGTGCACTTACTCCCAACCTGTTCTTCTATTGCCCCAGTCTCTTTCCAGAACCCCTAGTGATCTGTTGTGGAACCCCAGGATTCCATGGAGCATAGTTTGAAAAGCACTTCTCAAATATTTATTTTACTGGAATTTGAGAAGTGGTTGAACTACT